AAAAAAACAGTCTAGTGGAGCCATACTTGAAGAACTAGCAACATTATATGGCTGTATAACCCCCCTTGCTCAACAGCGAGCCTTATTTTTTAAGTGTTACCAGCAGGAAAGTGAAACTGTGGCCTCATTCATCCTACGGCTCCGGGAACTTTTTGCMACTTGGAGGGAGCATGAACCCTATGGCTCAGCCCAAGATGAGACGACTGCCCGTGACCAACTTGTTCTGGGCTTGAGACCGGGGGTGCTGCAGCAAGAACTTCAGCGTCAGGTTCGTAGAAACCCTGAGCTYTCTTTTGGGGAAGTTTGTGGGGAGGCCAGGGCTCTGGAAGCAGAGTTGAAAGCTGGTGCTGCTTGTTCTTCACATGTCTCTGTCCCCAAGTTGCCACAGGTTTCTCAGACTCCCAGCAGGCTGCTTCCATCAGAAGGCTGGGAACAGGCTGTAAGAGCTGAAGTGAAAAGGGAGTTACAAGATCAGCTGGCTGTGTTGAAGGAGAGTTTGCTTAACGAGATGAAGCAGCAGTGTTCCCCTTGCCATAGTCYGCACTCTGTGGACACTGGTTTTACCATGCAGCACCGAGGGAAAGTTCGACCAAGAGTATATACTCCTCCAGCCAGGACGCAAACCTTTCAGTGGGACCCACAAGGACAACCCATTTGCAGAAATTGTGGCAAAGTTGGACACATACAACGTCGTTGTCCATCTGCACAAGGTCAGTTAAACTAGTAACCCCAGCTGCTGAGAGCCGAGTGGTTGGGGGTAGAAAATTGGAAGATGGGAAAAATKACATGATTGGGGAATGTCTTGGGGTGGAAATTGTTGTAGCAGGGGTGAGGGTGCCCGTTTTGCTTGATACTGGCTCACAAGTGACTTTGTTCAGTGAAAGTTTTTTTCAGAAATGGCTAGGCTGCGAGATGAAGCATGACTCAGACGATTTGCAGTGGCTCACCCTGAAGGCAGCCAATGGACTCCAAATCCCCTATACCGGCTACGCCATTTTGGATTTTTCTGTTGGGGACTTGAAGGTTCCAGGTAAAGGGGTAATAATTGTGAAGGATGAGTGTTTGGGGGCCGAAAGGGGTATTCTTGGCATGAATGT